CAAGTGTGCAGGTGGGGGTATGTGCACGTGGGTTTGGGTGGGGATGTACACAGATGTGGACGTATACATGTGGATGTGTGTGGGTGTGTGCGCGTGCACACACACACACAGGCAAACGCACCCTACTCAGGGGAGGTGCACCCTGCGGTGGGCACGGAGACCCCTCCCCACCGCTCTGTGCAGGCGCCGCAAACCCCTGGGAGAGGACCAGAGGGCAGTCAAGGGCTGGTGTCGCGTTGGTGGGAAGTGCACACATCCCGTGGCCGGACCGCCCGCGCCCCACGCTCGGATGGGCCCCTGCCTCAGGACAGCTGCGCCTGGGCTCTGTGCTTCCCCGACCCCGGCCTGCCTGGCCCCGAGGGCTGCATGCGGTCCAGCCGGGAGTGCACCCGGCCGCGTGGACCTTACCAGCCCGCGAGGAGGTTCCGGCCCAGCCTCTGGGCAGAGCAAACACTTCGGGACGGTCGGGGCCACTGGACTACCTGCTGGGGACTAACTTCCTGCCTCAGAAGAACCACCGTGTTTGGAGAAAGAATAAGCAGCCGTTCAGAGGCGCTGCCCTCAGCTGCCCGCAGGAGGGAAGCAGGAGCCAGAAGGTGTCTGTGGGCCCCCAGCTCTGTGGCCGGTGTCCCGGGCAGGGTTCCAGGCCGACCGTGGGTCCACAGCGTGTCCCACTTCTGCCTCCAGAGCCCCCGCGGCTCCCAGGCCCCACGAGCACAACGGCCCCGAGAACTGGTGAAGGGGTGCCCAGGTCAGTGCCGCCCACCGCCCGAGAACGCGTGCGCCGACTGGACAGACCGAGAGCTCCAGGCAGGTAGGCAGTCCGGGCCTGGACACGGATCCGGGACAGCTGGTGTCCACGCATTTGGAAAGGTAAGTGGCCGTCATCAGGAGCCAACACGGGCCCATAGAAAGGCAGGCACGCCCGGCTACACTCATTTCCTTTCCGGACGTGCTGGCTGGTGGGGTGGGTACTGCGGGGCCTGTGGGGCCTGGCCGGCTGCTCCCGGCTCCCCGATGGGACACCGGGCTGGCCCGGTGCCGCATCGCTGCCCTCTGCTGGTGGATGGCAGGTGGACTGGGCCGCCCCGGCCCCGGGCAGAGAAGCCCCCCCTGGTCTCCCCCGAACCTCTGGCAGCACCTTCCCTCCCTGGAGACTCCCGGCCCCTCCTCCCGGGGCCCTAGGTTGTTGTCACCACCGCGGGGGCCGCCTCCACTCACAAAAGCAGCCTCGGAAACAGACGCTCTTTTCTGGAGCCTTCCAGGGAAGCTCTGAGAGTGGCTGCTCCCAGCCCTGCCCGCCACGCAGGACGCCTGGTGGACCGTGCTCTTCCATCGGCAGCCCCCCCCCGGCCCTCCTCCTGCTGATGTAGTCTGTTCGCACTTTCCACCCCAGGAGGGTCAGGACCCCGCCCGCCCCCACCCTTCAGCAGGAGCCCGTTCTCTGCCACGTGGATGACCACGGCCTCACCCTCACAGCAGTCTGTAAAGGAGGCGCTGGGTGGCCAAGGGTCTCATTTGCCATCTGCAGAGGCCAAATGAGCCCTCGGGGGTGCCCTGGACCCCACGTGCAAGGACCCCCGGCCAGGGCAGCCCCCAGCCTGGCGGACCAAGCCCAAGGCTCCGCGGTTACACAGAGTGTGTCCCGTTCCGGCCTCCGACGGGGGGCTCCGGGGTCAACATTCCAGTGCCATATCCTCAGCGTTTTCTACAAACACCCACAGAACCCGCTGAACGGGGCCATGTCCACCTGGGCTTGAGCGCAAGGCCACTGAGGGTCAGGTCGCTGCTCGGCCTGCTTCTCTGTCTCACCAAGCAGGGTGCCCATCACAGGGCCTGGGAGGGGCTGGAGGGGCTGAGGGGCAGGTTCTTCAGGGAGCGACAGCTGGACGAGGGGGAGATGTACCGGCTGCTCCGAGGAGGTGCTTAAGGAGGCTACGCTGTGGCCAACGACCCCCACCCCACCCCCCCCACCCCCATCCACGGTCGGGGACGCCAGCGACACTGCACCTCCTTCTTCGGCCCTGCAGGGGGCTGCGGTTTGTGTTTGTCCCACGTCAAGACTGCTGACACTGGCCCTGAGCAGGCCCAGCCGGCTTCAAGTTATACGTGGACCAGACACGAATTAGGACCCGGCTGGAAATCGACCGCTGGTGGTGGGTGTGACCGTCCCCATCCTGCAGCACCATCCACACGGCCTCACCTGTCCAGCCCCAGCCCCACGCACAACGTGGCTCATGCACCAGACTCCAGAACACGGGAAGCCAGACACTGCCGTAGACAGCAAGGCACCTAAGAAGCAACAGGTCGACGGGGGAACCAGCCGGGGCTCCGCCACTGAGGCCGCCGGTCCAGCGAGGACGGGAAATCACAATCAGACCCTGCGTCAGTAGGCGTGGCTTCCCCTGCACCGAGCAGTCGTCTACACCTGTTGCGGCTCCCTCGCGTGCACACCGGGCCTCAGGCTCCCCTACTCCGACGGGTCCTCGCTCCGGCTCCGGCCACGCGGTGTGGCCCTGTTTGTGTGCGTCTCTCCTGCTCTTAGCTGCCCTCCCCTCCCCTCCTCCAGTGTCTGCCTCCCCGGTCTATCTGCGGAGGCTCCTTCTGTGTGTGTGCACGACATCACTCACCTGCAAGTCTGCATCCGGACCGTCGTGGTCCCGGCACCTGGGCGGACAGCTGGTTCCCCGCCCTCCCCTTCCCTTTGTGGTGTCTGAGCTCTGTCCGCATCGATATTTGCAGAGTTGCCTGTAGCCCCGCGTAATACTTCACAGCATGAAGCCACCTCCCCTTGTTGTTCTGACCCCCGCTTCTGACGTTTTATTATCATATTTTTGAGACAGAGCGTGAGTGGGGGAGGGGCGGAGGGAGGGGAATAGAGGATCTCCAGCAGCCTCAGCGCTGTCCGCACAGAGCCCGACGTGGGGCTCAGACACACGAACTGGGAGATCATGACCTGAGCCGAAGTTGGGCGTTCGACCGACCGGGCCCCCCGGGGAGCCCCGTTTTCCAGCCCTCTCAATGGCCACTTAGGACAGCTTCTCGCTGTGCGGACATCGCCCTGCACTGTGTGCTCTCGTCTGGGAGACTCCGGGGCACACGTGGAGCCCTGGGATGGTGGGGCGTCGGGAACACGCAGATCTCCCTAACTACTGCGTCACAAATCGCTCTCAGGTGGTCCTGTCTTCATTTCGGACGGAAAGACCGAGGCCGCAAGCAGTGGGGTGACTCACCCCAGTTTGAGAACCTGACTTGCAGCCCGGGCCCCACCGCCCCCCACCTCCGCTGGGACACGAACTTCATCTCCCTCCCCCATATCTGAGCACAGTGGTGCCCACCGGGAGCCTCCCAGGACGGTGCTGGGGAAGGAGGCGGGAGGTCTGAGCTCCGGAGGGAGGGGGCTCCTTCGCGGCGGGAACAAACCCTGGCGGCCCGGTCGCCGCGTGCGGCTCAGGTGCGGCGCGCACTGGTTTCGGCTCCGGGGAGCACCCGCTGCTGGGGCTCACGGGGCTCGGATGAGCCAGAACAGGGTCCCTGGGGGAGGGAGCCCCGGGGAGGGGGGGGTCATCCTGTCCACCCCTCTGCCCCCAGAGCCTAGGCCGGGAGCTCTTCCTGGGGCCGCTCTCGTCACCCTGTGAGCACAGCAGCAGCAGATACTTTCGGTGTGGTTCCTGTGCCCCCAGCGGCCTTGTTCTGTCCAAGCAGCATGAACCCTCCCACTTCGCAGACAAGGAAACTGAGGCTCAGAAGCTACCCATCTTTCTTTAGGCCCTGAGTGGTGGACCGGCCCGCCCCCTGGCGTCCACGCCCCCCCATCAGCACGTGGGGGAGGCTGGGCAGGTGGGGCCGCCCCGGCCCAGGAGGGGCCCTGTCCCCGCAGACCCTGCCGCACTGTGCACCGATGGCGAGAAGGCCAAATTTTACGAGGCTCTAAGAGTGAATTGACGGCACTCATTACGGACATACTAGATTACCCGCGGAGTGAAAAGGCACCCCGGGGACCCCGGGCCGTGCAGCCTTCGGCGAGGATGGGAACGGCCCCTCTGAGCTGCGGCAGTGAAGCACGTGCCCATTCGGTTACCAGCCGAGGGGCTGCGGTCGCCTGGAGCTGTCCGGGGCTCACGGGGTGGGGGGGCTGAGGGTGAAGGAAGAGGCGTTCCAGAAATAAAATCCCTTTTTCATGTAAATCAGCTGCCGAAGGCAGAAAGCAAAGCCCTGCAGTGGGCAGTGTCGGGAAGGCCAGGGGCTGCGGAGGAGGCCACCCGCTGTGCTCCTGCTCAGACTGGGGTCTCGGGGAGGCCAGAAATCTACGTCCTCTGTGCCAGCGAGGAAGGGGGTGTGGGAGTCGGAAGGACCCCAGGCCCCACTCAGGGATGCCCCATGCTCAGTGGGCACGTCTTGCTGCACAGGTTGGGACGCTGCGCCCAGGTTCCGGGGAGTCAGACGGGGCTCCTAGCACTGGGCTCTCTCCTCACACCCCGGGGAGCCCCTTCTGCTCTGTCCTCGTCCTGCCCCCCGCTGGCAGGAGCAGCAGTGAGTGCCTGCTTACACAAACAGCACGCGGCGCAGGCGGTGTGCACAGGGCACGGGCACGCACACGGCAGGGTGCTTCCTGACCCCGTAGGCACACGCTCAGGCTCTCAGGCAGAAGGGGAGTTTCCTAGGGTCTGAGAGACCAAAGGAGGCTTCGCTGACTAGTCTGGGGGGCAGAGAGGAACCCAGGCTGCTCAGAGCCAACACCGTAAAGCGCAGCAGCCGACTCCCCCGATGGCCCCCGTCTACACCACAGGTGCCCGCGCTGCTCACGGGGCCCCCACCTCTGCTTCGCTCATTCAGGCCCGGCTGGTTGGCCGAGCCGGGACACGTGAGCTCTCCCGGCTTCAGGGACGGTAGCGGGAGGCGAGTGGGCCTCACGGGTACATTGTCAGGACAGTGGGGGTCCCGCACGCTTCGGAGGGGAGGCCGCATGCTGAACTCCAAGCTCCGTAGACGCTGGGCCCCTGTGACCCCCAGAGCTCGCTCCTGAGGCCCCGCAAGAGCGAAGGGCTCCCGAAACCTTCTGGAGGGCGTGCGATCTGCTGTCGGGGCGCGTGAGCGGGGCTGCTGGACGCATGGGGTCCGGGGGGCAAGTGGCTGCAGACGGTTTTACGCGTTTCGGCGTCCCGTTCTTTCATACTCGGGGAGTAAGGACACTTGCGACCGCGTCCAGCTCTGTTTCGAGCTGCACAGAGTAAAACTTCCCCTGCGATGTGGCCACGCGGCCATGGCACCCCTGCGTGTGGGCCTCGCCTCCCTCCAGAGGCTAGGACGACAGCGTCCTCACTGGCAAAAAGTCACACCGCACTGTCCTCGCGAGGCACCCCCGCTCAGCGGCCCCGCATCGGGGATCTCTTCGCGACACCGACGCGCGTGTTGGCTGGCTCTGTGGGCCTTGGGTCACACCGGGCAGGTAGAAAGTCCATCACCGGGAGCTGACACGAGAGCAAGCCAAGAGGGTGCCCGTGGGGCCCGCAGCCTCAGCACGTGCCAGGCTGCTCGCCCCCACGGATTCCCTCTGTGCCCCGTGTCCACACTGGGGAAGTGAGGCTGATCCCCACTGTGAAAGCCCGTGCCTGCAGACCCCACATGTTTGTCAGGGCTGGGATCTGTGAGGACGGACTGGGACCCCGGGGCGAGGGCAGTCTGGGGCGCAGGACCAACTGGGACGCCGGGGCGGGGGCGGCCTGGGGCGAATCCACCCCCCCACCCCCCGCCATTGTGCTCCGGCGCGCGGGCCTGGCCTCCACTGTCCCTGCGTCCCCGGTGCAGGCAGTGAACCTGCGTGAATGTTAGTACAAACTGCCCATCTTTCTGAGGTGCCCCCGGCAGGTCTGCCCTCGTGGCCGTGCGGTCCTGAGGCTCACGTAGCGGGGCCTCGCTTCCCCTAAGGGAAGCTGTCCTCACCTGTGGTCCATCCGTCCGGCGAGTGCATGATGCAGGTGGGTGAGAGCTGGCGGGTCAGAGCCCCGGGGTCAGGCTGGAAAGGGCCTGTGACAGCCCAGCCCGCTGCCCAGCTCCCCTGGGGACCGTGGGGCCTTGGCTGCTGCTGTGCAGCCCGTCACCAGCTGGGGGTGCTGCCTGAAAAGGCCGCCTCCAGGACGAGAGGAGGAGACCAGGGCAGCGCTGGGAATGCGTGTGTCACTGAGGCCACCGGGCGAGGAGCAGCTCAGCAGGACCCGGTGGGGGCGGCGAGGCCACAGGGGCGCCCGTGTGGCGTGGGCACGGGCTGCCCCTCGACTTCGGGGTGGAGCGGCTCCTGGTGCTGGCTGGGGGAGGGGCCTGGATAGATGCCAGGGCCCTGCAGGCCGCCTCAGGCAGTGGACGGTCACCTCCTGGCCGCTTAGGCCCCACCTCGCCGGGATGTGGCTCCACCCGTGAAACGTGTTAATGATCCCCGCCTCGGTGTTTGCGTCAGAAATGGTGAGGCTGCTGGAAACCAGGCACCCAGGACGTGGGGGACGGCAGCCGCCACCCTCCCTGGGCTGCGCTCTGGGTCCAGCTCCGGTAGGGAGGCAGGGGCTCACCCGGGCGGCTGGGCCGTCTGGGCTGGCGGGAGGCTAGGATGTGCGAGCCCAGGACTGAGCAGGGTGCCCGGCACAGAAGGACCGCGGTGCCTGCCGGCCAAAAGAGGCCGCATCCACGGGTGACGTCTGCTAAGGCCTGTGGCCCGACTAGGAATCATCTGCTTGAGACACAGACAGAAAGCAGAGGTGGGGCTGGAAGTCAGAGGGACGCTCGGCGAGTTTGCTTCGTCACTGTGTCTCTAGGCCCCCAGGCGGACCCGTGCAAGCGTGCCCCAGATGCGTCTCTGTGCCCCGGGCCTGGCAGGGTTTCCACTGCGTGCCTCAAGGAAGCGGTCCAGCCACGGTCTGGGCTGGAAGGTGAGGCAGGGAGAGACATGGGATCGCCAGCAGAGGACGCAGAGGAGGAGCAGGGCGACAGGCAGGCCCCTGGGAACTGAGGCCACGAGGCCAGCCTCCAGGCTCCCTCCTGTAAGGGTCCTGGAAACACGCCTGAAGGTTGACATCCACCCACAGCTTACTGTCTGCCACGTGTGTGCGTGGAATCACTTCCCTTAATCCTCCAGTAGCCTGAGTCCCAGATCGGGAAACTGAGGCACGGAGGTCCCAGAGGAGCTCACGTCATGGCTCTGGACCCTCCACGAGCCCAGATCTGCAGGCACACAGGCCGGGTGGGGAGAGACAAAGGACATGTGAACTGAGGGCGTACAGCAGGCGGGGGGGGGTTCCTCTGAGCCTGGGCTGATGACCCAGAGCCCCCGGCAGAGGCTGGGAGAGAGGCAGC